GACGATAATTCTTCGATCTTTTCACAACATTTGCATCGAGCAAAAGTTTCTTTAAAAACTCAGTGAACAAGCGAGAAGTAGAAATGAGCGGGAAAGTTGTTTTCATTTGACGCGCGAGTGCATCCGGGACATCAGGCGTGGACTTTTTGGCTAATTTTTGGGTCAAGTATAGTAAATAACAAAATAAACACCTTTCAATCAAATTTTCTGTGATACACAGGGTTGTTTTTTTTTTGCACAATCCTGTGTACTCATTTGCGTACTATATGAGGCTAACTGGACTGAGAAAAACATGTGTAATAAGTTTCTTTTAAAAAAATTTTCATGCAAGGAAAAATAAACAACAAAAAAACAGGGTTGAATACCAATGTTTTCAGGGTATTTCTCAAGTTGGTCGACCGCGCGTTAAAACTTTGAAAACAATTCATCAAAATCCCGACCCCGGGACAGTCTATTGACAGTCGTTAAAAACGCGTCRCGTCCCCAGTCAGTGCCVCGAGTGCATAAACGACTCTACGCGCCTGGACATTGAATTTGTTCAAGTTCTAGCCACGAGCAGCAAGGGATGTGACACGAAGGAAAAAGTCTGGAAGACGCAGACCCTGACCCTGAGTACAGTGAAATCTTTGTGTGTGACATGATGGGTAGGACTACGTTAGGAGAACATTGGGTAACATTAAAATATCCCTAGACAAGTAAGAAAAGTTTTTATATTTTTTTATATTTTAAAAAAATGTGACAGGAACATTTTTAGTAGACACACGTTTTTTTTCTAATTTTATCTAATTTTATAAGCCGAATGCCTGTTAGTCTTGTGGTCGAGGCTCGTACCAGTTTTTACCGGTTAGCCTTGCAGAAACTTTTCGAAGATGATGGTTTTCGGCCGCGTTTTCAGTAGCTAACAGACTTAATCGGCTATAACGCGTTGCTATAAACGTTCCACMCAATACACCTTTTCAGTTGSTCTTAGGCCTCGACARCRTGTTAAATATTCTTTTGAAT